AACTTTCTGCATTACCAGCAAGTATTTCAAGGTCAGAGATGTCTAATCCCTCATTCTCTACATCTTGTCTGAATGGAGAAGTAAAGATTAAATTAGGCTTCACCTGCAGCAGGGTTCCAACTGCAGGCTCTTGTTGAACACGGCCATCTTGAGCTTGGTCTGAACATGGCTGTGATTGACATCTCCCCTGTGGATTTCTTCATCTGTTGGGGTTCCAAATCCATCCTCTGTGGGAAATAGCATACTTGGTAACCATGGCAGCAAACTTCGATTGGAAAAGGAAAATGTTCGCCACATTTTCATACATTCATAAACACACTGTTATGGGAAATATATTTAAGTCAGGGCTACTATAGTCAAAAGAGGTCTGAGAATTACATCTGTGCAGAGGTGGCACAAAGATGAGGGATGAGGAGGGAAGACAAAAAAACAGCACAGAACATCCACTGGGACTGAGGTGGAGGTGGGTGGCAAAGTGGCTTTGGAGATGTGCAGCAACTGTGGGCCGCCACTGATATCCACAGACTTGTTGTGATTGTGACTGAGCTTGAACTGGACTAATAACATTACAAATACTTTAGTTTGTGACATTTCACAGATATAATCAACATTTCCTTTCAGTTTCTCTTCTTGGTTCCCTCCGGTTGCTCCTTTTCAGACAACAAATCATATGCTGGCACTTTTTAATCAGAGAATAGCACCAAGTCAGTAAACTTCTGGGATATTGATCTGGTCACTAAAGTAGCAGAGGGGGTTGTTAATCAGTTTCAGCTACTTTGGTGTCAATGAAATGAACAACAGATGAAACAATGAGACAACCCCTTAAACAGGAATAGTTTTACAGGTAGAGGGCACTGACATTTTCCCCTCCTCATCTTTCCTGACTCTGTTTTTCACCAGTTTTGCATTTGGCTTGGATCAGTATCACTATTGAGGCAACACCTGGACCCTACAGAGATAGGACAGGACAGGTAGTCCAAGGAAGTGAAAAAGTAATCAACATGTGCCATTGCAAGATATCGCAATGGCATGTACCAAGGTTTACTGTGCCACCAGCACTGGAGGAGATTCCAGGAGTCAGATAGTTACTCTAGTAGAGCTGGACAGGGCTGTAGAAGGCATTTGCCATAGAGTGCTAGGATTGGCAGGTCCACTACTAACATCCTGTGCTTTTCAAAGATGAGAGAGCTTTACTCTGAGCACATGTGAAAGACATAAAAGGGTTAGAAGAAGCCAAAGTGAATGTAAGCAACCTGTGACATTGTTCAGTATGACCAGATCATCTCTAGACCATTACTGACCCTGGGGAGGCATATCCACAGAGGGACGTACACACCTCTGTAGGCTTGGCAGCGGTACCCTGACAGCCAATAGGTATCAGGATGAACTCCTTGGACTCACTGTCAGATTCTACATTGGTGCACTGAGTCCAGGATTCCTCCTGGTGCATGGAAATTCCCGGCCTCATGTGGCGAGAGCATATAGGCAGTTTATGGAGGATCAAGGAATTAATGCCATTGATTGCCCCCACACTCACATGACCGAAATCCAATAGAATACCTCCGGGACTTTATGTTTTTATGTTTTGGCCATCCATCCCTGCAAGATTCCACCTCACACATTCCAGGAGCTCAATGATGCCCTGTTCCAGATCTGGGAGAAGATCCCTCAGGACGCCATCTGTCATCTGATGATGAGCATGCCATGTTGTCAGGCTTGCATAGAAACACTTGGGGGCCATACAAACCACTGTGTACCATTTTGAGTTGCTAGGATGAAACTGAATCAAAATGTCCTGCTGCATAATTTTTTTCACTTTGTTTTTCAGGGTGTCTTTGAATTCAGCCCTCTGTAGGTTGATCATTGTTATTTCTATCAAACGATGTGGCGTCTTTTCATTCCTAACACATTAACCGCTCCAGTATAGATATCCAGCACGAATTTTTGTACCTGGACCTGACCAAAACAAGAAATGAAAAGATACATTTAAAAGTCTAAAACATATATAAAAGTGGATTTAAACGATAATGATCACGATAAGTTATTCAGGCTCTGTTTTTATAGATACATCTCTTGTATATTTTTGGAAATTTTGTAAGTCATTTGCCATTTATCATCCATCCCTCTCATCACAACCCCTGAGCTCTAAATTATCAGCCTGAACCCTAACACTATCTGTTGCCCTATGTTATTATAATATGTCCTTTTTGTTATTATTAAATTGTTTTCCTGTGTCTTGGAAATCAGGGACCAAGAAGATAAACCTAAAAGAATTGGCCTTCTCCAAAATAGAGGGCCTAGATGGAGTTAAGGTTAGGATTATCACCCATGATGAATAAGACCTCAGACGATTAAAGTTGAGAGTAGTTTAACTTGGTACCGGCCACACGTTATTTCAACTGTCATTGCTATAAGTTGCTAATTCCTGCTTGAATCAAACTTTTCTTGCACCAAAACTTCAGAAAATCCAAAAACAATGGGTTGGCTGTGGTTCAGGTGGTCGATCAGGTAATCTACCAATTGGCAGATCGATCCCCATTGATCCCGTCTGGATGTTGAAGTATCCTTGGATAAATACTGCAGCCCAAGTTGCTGCCAGCACATCCTTGTGAGTGTTAGATAAAGTGCTTATAAAAAGTGCTGCATGAATTTATTTGTGATTGGATGAAAAAAAATGTGTGCAAAGTGTTTTGAATTCCCAACTTAACCGGAAAGGCGATACGATACATATGTACCAGTCCATTTACCATATTCCATGTTCCCAGACATCACATTCCTGCTTGTTTCTTCCAGTGTGTATGCTCCTTACGCAGATCTTTTCCACTGTTAAGTATTTTACAGGAGACAAAACTAATTGAATTTTCCTTGAAATGCAGTTGAGAATGCATATTTTAGGAGTGATTTGTAAATAAACTCCAGCCTAGCTCAGCAGCTTCCACGGAGTACTGGATGTGGTTCGTGCTTTGTGTAATGTCGCTTAATAATCTCGAGCTGAGAAGGAATTAGCAGTCAGACCTTTAATTTAAATTGATGCGTTTTTATCGCTGGTCGAAGTGTGCGAGTCGTTAAGAGTGAAGCTGTGGTTAGGTTGCAGCGTTGTGTAGCTATAGATGAGGGGAGGAAGAAGACAAAGGATCATGGTGATTTTGAAGAAAGCTGCTATCCTCACAACATTCAGCCAATAAAAATTGTTGGTGTGCCTCATTAATACAACATCACATGCATTTAGTATTAGTTTTTTTTTACTTGTGGTATTTGTAGGAGCTTTAATCGTGTGTCCCATTGTTACAGATGTCAGCTTAAGACAAGCTGGGCGTGGCGGCAAAAATGCATTCTGAAAGCCTAGTCCCATGTTTCCACCAGCAAAGCTGCGGCAAAGGAGATAATGAAGCAGCTTACAGATTTTTCCCACAATGTCAGGATGGCGAGGGCACATCGTCAGAAAGGAAAGGCGAAAGTGGTGAAGGAAAGAAAGAGGCATTTTTAGGGTAATGACATGCAGCCTGTTCTGCTAAGAAAAAAGATGTGACTGCGGCTTATACGAAGCAAAAATAAATCTGTTGTATGTTTCTGTGCACTAAAAGGTGGAGACAAGCTCTTGTTTCGCCACTCTACCCACCCCACCCCCCCATTACAGTCTGCTGGCTCTTGTTTTCTTCTCCCAGACCTGTCAGGCAGAATAGAGTCACATCTGCTCCCCGTATCTCCTTCAAGTCAGGGGGACACAGTTGGCAAAGCTGCAGCTGCTGGACAGAAATGTACAAGCGTGTGCAGTGTGTACACGGCAGCACACATGTGTCTGTGTGCCTGCGAGTGTTGATGGCGAGTAGTTAACCAGCACTTGTCACAAGGGACATCATTAGGCTTCGCTCGACAGAAACAGGGATAAAGATGGAAGCAGGAGGGGCGAAGGAAATTAGAACGGCATCCACTGCTGTCTAATTCCAGAAAGAATCGTCGACTCTCTGCTTGTTTGGTTGCTTATATGTGAGCAAGTGTATCTAGTTTAGTCTTCCTCCCTTGCTCTCTTCTCCTTTCACGCCCACGCAACTTACTTTTACTTTAGCAACAGATTGCGAGCTCCTAACTATGTTATACTGGCATCCTTTGCTTTTTTTCACCCAGCCACACAGGAAGTGATCAAGAGACATTAATGGTTGGGCTCAAGGTTGAAGTGAAAATTTAATTTTCATCCTTTTTTGTCCATTTTTCAAAATATCATCCACGCTGCGTCTTCCATAAACTAGCATCCAGGCAATGTTTAAGAGGCGCAGTTGTAATAATTAGATTAAAGTATGACTGGGATGTGGAAGATGCTGAGCTATGGTTACTGCTCAATATTGTGTGTGTATTGTCCCATGTTACAGAAAAAAGAAAATCTAGCTAGCATTACCTGTCTCTCTTTTATTGGTCCAGGTCCAGTTGTTGCTGATTGATAGCAAATGCATGGCAACCTCAAGATACCTCTGCACAGTCTCTCACAGTCAGTGGGGAGTGTGTGCATGCCGCATGCCAATATCAGCTCTGCAGCATTTTACTCTTTAGAAGAAAACCCTATAAATATTAACATTACCATACTTTCACAGATTTTTATAATTCATAATCACTGTGCATTGCACAGTTGGGTGTACTATAGTAAAATTCCAATTATTATCATACATATGGCATCAGTGCTCAATACAATAGCCAGTGCAAAATTACAAAATGATAATTTCTTTAAATCATAACATCCAAATTATATCATCGTAAGCAAAACATGGACCTTGCCACTTACTCATTTGTGGACTACTATTTTGAATCCCCCAGTTTTGGCATTAAACCCGTCTTAGTCTGTTTTCCCTCGTCATGTCCATCAGTGTAGCAATCAGAATTGTTGTCTGGCCAAAAAATGCCAAACAGATTTACTTTCAAAACCAGCAGAGAAACCACAGCAACAACCAACGTGTGCATAAATAACAATGACAATATTACTGAAAATCACACAACAGTAATAATACAAGATGTTTTTAGGGGCAGCAGCACCCCAAGGTAGTCTGTGTCTGTACCTGTGTGTACACATGTGTGTGTAGGCGCTCGTGTTCATAAGGTTTCTCCATGTAATTTCTAATAGTGGGTGTGGGGAGCCATAGCCCCACCCCACAAGACCTGAAGCAGGCATGGAGGAGACCAGGGCCCCAGTCATCCAGAGGCCCCCCAGAGCATGAGAGCCGCAGGAGGACCACCGCTGGGTGGGTGAGAGCTTCAGGAGGGTCACGCAGCAGTCACAGTGCAGAAGTCCCAGTGGGGTGCAGCAACAAGTCTCCTGGCAGCTGGGTACACCAGAGCAGACCGAGCACTGGGCCTGAAACCTGTCTGGTTGTTTCCAACTGTCACAAAGTAGGTTTAATAGTTCATCACATTAAACCTACTTTGTGCCCAAGGGCACCCCATCCCCCAACATAGCCAGGGCCCAGGCCCCACCAAGCAGCCGCCAGGAGCGAGCCGGCGCACACCCGAGCATCCAGCCCCGCACACAGAGAACTACCAATGCACGAGGTGGGGCACCAGCCACTGGTAGGGAGTCCTTGATCAGGTAACCTGCTAGATAAGTGAGGCCTCCATCACACAGGCCTATAGATCAGTCGGTAAAGTTATGCGTTACTTTACTGCAACACATTTCAAACTACACAACACTTTAAAGGTGAATGATCTCTGTTTCCAGTTTGCGTCACACTCTTCAACTTCAGGCAACCTGATAGCAGTCAAAGAAACTGCAAAGAGGGTTTTTGGTGGATACCTGTTCGCAGCTAATTTGACGGCCAAATGAGACCTAACTTTATTGGAAATATAAAATTCTCATTCCTGGTGATACCAATTGGGATATTAGTTTTGGCTTCCAGAAAACTGGCTCCACACATAAACTACTGACAAACCTGAACAGCCTACTCTTAAAGGCTGTTTTTATTAGACTAAAACTCAGGCTTAATTAGCGAGGGGTGGGTATTACTGAGAGCCAAAGAATGCTGTTTTCCCTAAAGGTAGCTTCAAATTTTACCAACATTAAAAAAATGATCATCATTCTGTATTGTAGAAGATTACAAATTGGTTGTTATTTACTTGATTTTGTTTTCAATAAAAGGAGTTGCTCCCTACTGGGCACAGAAAAAAGTGTCCACACTAGACTCTTTTTCAAATCTGAAGGCTATGTCTAGCATTTATATACAGTCTATATATAAGTGCATCTAAGTAATTATGCATTCAATAAATACATAGTGTAGTATTGTCATATATTTTATCACTCTACTGCACAGAGTACTTAAAAAAAGGAAAAACACTTACTTTCACACATCCATAACCAGAAACTGTGCAAAGATAGACTAAGATATTCAAAAGTAATGTGATGAACTATTAAACCTACTTTGTGACAGTTGGAAACAACCAGACAGGTTTCATGGGAAAAGTTGCTCTCTACAGTGGAATAAAGCACTTGTGCTTCGCTGCACCCTAACTTCTACAGCAACAACCTGCCCTACAGTTCCGGACTAGAGAAGAAAAAAAAAGGCGTATACATGGACAAAAAGAAAAAGGAGGACAAAAATAGAAGCAAATTGCCACAGATATAAGCAAAGGAGAAACAAAAGGGGCTAGAGTGAGTTTGCTCTCTTTGTAGTTCATAACAAAGCATCCTGAGCTCTACAAAGCTCCTCTACCCCCCTGCACTCCTTCGACTTTGAGTTGTGAGCATTCAGACTCAGGCTCCGTAACAGGCTCCAGTGCTCGTGTTTCATCCCTCGCATATGAGAAGGAATGAGGCTTTGTATTATAGCAGCACAGCTCAGATGAATATTACTTAAGCCCACGCACACAGACAATGCATGGCCATAAATAAATAATACCCATCTCGCCATGCTCCGTAGCATTAAGAAGTGCAGGAGAAAGACGCTGGGAAGCCGGGGGAGAGGAGATCCAAGAGTAATAAAAAAGGAAGGGCTATAGAGCAGAGAGGAAGAGAGAGAAAGAGGAGAGCAGGGGGAGGAGGGGGAAAGTTGGCAGCTTCTGGCGAAGGCTGAGAGACATAGCATCACATTAAAGGCCAAGGCCAAAGACTCCTCAGACCGTTAATGAGATTCTCTCTCTTTCTAACTCTGTGTCCTTCTCGCTTCCCTTTTTCTCTTCTCCCACTGACTCTTCCTCCCGCATCTGACTTTATTTTCTGTCTTTCTTTTCACAGCATATTCGACCAAACTCTCCTGAGCCCAAGCTCATTGTCCTCAGCCAAAACAAAACAAATATTTCATTAAGTTTGTCTTAATAATTGGGCAATGTTTTGGATGTTAGTGCTAATTAAGTGTTTAATAATGCATTAGCTTTTAATTTCTGCTCAGCTTTCTCTTCACAACATTGTGGGGTCACAGTGTGCTAGAAACTGGCCTGCTGTAAATCAAATCTGCATTTCTCCTGCAAAAGCACGTCAAGGTAATGTCAAGTTAACCTCCAGAAAATAAAATACTTGATGGGATGTGTAAATTGTTAGCTTTGGCCAACACTTCCCCTGCTGGTTTTCTCATTTTTCTACATGACAAGGTGACTGGCCTTGCTAGCAATATGACAGCTTAGCGCAAATCACAGTCATTCATAAACTTAACAAAAAAAGTAAAGAAATTTGTGTTAACTTTTAAACATTGGAAAATGTGTTTATTTCCCTTTAAATGGTGCCACGTTTGCAAGAAATATGCACTTGGGAGTTAAACAGCAGAGTTTAGTAGTAGCAGTAGCAGCTAGCATGGAAGAGCTAGCATGCAAGCATGGACCCGGGTTAGCAGCATCTACCAATCAGGCACCTGATTGTCAGCACCTTTGGTACCAGAAGGTCAAAACAAGAGTCATTAGCAGAATAAGCTGTTTGGCACTGCCAGAGAAGATATGGCAAATTTTTAATAGACGCAACCCACATACTCCACTCTGCTGCTCAACCAAAAATTGAATTAAAACAACAAACTGGCTTTCCAACAGCATGAGATTTATTGTCAAGAAGCACTGTTACAACATACACTGAAACTCAAAGTTTTGTTACTTTTAGTGCCAAGTTCATATAAAGAGAAATATGTGACATATAACGTAGCCCCCCCCCCCCTTGTTGATCACCATGGTGATTGTTTACCGGTGGCCTAGTAGATGACAGTAAGTTCAGATTCTGACTTCTAGGGTCTGGCGTTCTCTTTGCTGCTAAAATGGCTTGTGTGGTTTTATAATACAGAAATAAAAGGGAATATTTGAGGCCTTCAGAAAGAAAAGGGTTAGTGGATACCTCTGAGTCTGGCAAGGCATTTAAATGGCTCTCTACATGATGTGAAATAAATTATTCCAACATGAGGAAAATCATTTACAAATGACACTGATCTCAAACAGCCTGTCCAAGACTGGCTGTCCCAGCAAACTCAGGCCAGAGCAGACTGATGCAAAAAATAAAAAAATAAAAAATCTGTCTGCAGGTAGGATCTATGGGTAATCCTTGCAGCTGTTCAAAAATGCATACGTCTAGAGCCAGAAAGAGAATTTTACCTGCAAGGAGCTCTGCTGGGATAAACTCTCAAAATGAAAACTGGAAAAAGGTTATGGTTTCTCATTAAACTTGAGAGGCAATGATCATGTTGGAATAATGTTCTCTGAACAAATAAATCCAAAATATGTGTTTCGATTTATTCAGACAACAGGTCTTGGTATTCCTGTCCCAAATTACAGGTCATGGTTCATTTTGATGGTAAGAAATTGTCACGGCCCAGCGGCACAAGGTAACTGAGATGGACACAAGTGCAGAAACCAAACCGGAAGTGAGACAGTAAGTGAACAAAAGGTTTATTTTCCCCCACAATTAAACACATGCAAAAACAAAATGACGCCACCACATTAGAGGCGCGCAGTAAAAACTAAGTCAACTAAGAGTGACCTAGACAATAGGGGTGCAACAATACTCGTATCGATATTGAACCGTTCGATACAGTGCTTTCAGTTCGGTACGCATATGTATCGAACAATACAAAATTTTTAATTTATTTTATCAACTTTCCTTCTGACGATGCTGTCTGTGTTGAGCGCTCAGTGGATCTGCGCTCGACAGTGCAGCCTAGGCGGAGTAGTAGAACGCAGATTCACTGAGCGCAGGGCAAGCTAGTGAGACAGAAGTTAAGCTCTCCTTGCAACATGGCAAATTGAACCTCCCCCACCCTCATTCAGATGTGGCGTTTGGAACTATTTTGGTTTTCATATGACGTATGACCCTGAAGGTAAGCGCGTCATGTACAAAAGTAAAACAGTATGTCGGATGTGCCACGCAATGCTTAATTACATTGGTGGGAGCTACTGCGTTAGCGCAGTTAGCTCGTTAACATGTTGGCCATCCAGCCCCATGCACGGGGCAATCTGCGGTAGCTCGTTAACGGAGATTTGCCGTGTTGTGGCGTTAACGTCATTTCAACGAGATTAACGCTGACAGCACTAGTGGGAACACAACGAATATGACTGCACATTTACGCCGACATCATCCTAGTGCAAAGACAAGTGGAAGCAGACAAAAACAACAAGCATGTATGCTACAAACTTTACCCGAGTCATTTAGACAGCCGTTAGCACATGATTCTCCTTATATATGTTTAATATGCTGCTGAGAATATAGCCCAGAAGAAGAATATTGTATAGCTTTTATTTTGGAAAGAGCCATTTCTCTGGAATAAACTCTCTTTTCCAAAGATGAGTGATTTCTCGATCAGAGATTTATTTTTTTTATTACTTTGTTGCTTCAGCAACATAAAATTTAAAAAATGTACTTTTGAGTTAAATATATATATTTATAATTTTAATAAATGACAAATTAAAAAGGCATGAACATTTTTTTTGTATCGAAAAAATATCGAACCGTGACACCAAAGTATCAAACCGAACCGTGAATTTTGTGTATCGTTGCACCCCTACTAGACAACTCTAGGATGCAGCTGAACAGCTGAGGCAGTGGGGAGGTGGAAACTGGACTATGAAGTGGCCGGGGCACTGTAATGAGAGGAGAGCACAGTCAATGGGGGGACTGACTGATTTCAACAAACTAGATCCTGAAAACTATTTGTTATAAGAAGCTAAAATTTCACAGCAATCATTAAGCATGTTCAAACTTTGAACCATGAAATTTCTATGCAGATTTCGGATGGTGGAGCGGAAAATATTCTACAAATTTACTGATATCAGATGGAATGACCCAGGTCGTGGGAAAATGAAAAACATGTACATATTTAACAAAACTATTTTCTGAGTTTTAATCAGAGTTCCCTGGATATGTTCCCTGTTTTTGTTGCGCAGCTTGTCATATTTGCTAAACTCAGCATTAAAATTGGAAGAAAAAAAAGCTTTTCTTTATTTCTGTGGCTAAAGATGAAAAGTATTCCTGGTTTGTTTTGCAATATTGTAAAATACAACTATATATCATTCACAATTCAGTCACTAGCTGTATTTTGAAATGGGGCATATTTCAAAAGTGTTTGCTCGAATACTGGATATTTCTTTTGTATTTTAACTTGTCAATATCATTTCTTAATGTATCGCTCC